CATTTATAGTATATTAATAACATGCTACTGTATAGTGCACTATATGATTGTGGGCATTTTGTTACTGGATCTCGCCCCTGTCTGTAGAGGTGTGGTTCATGTCAGCACCTTTTTCGCTATTTGGCAGCCCATTGTCAACTTAGTACGGGGCACTTGTTACTGCCGGTCCATCCGTGGCTGAGAGCGATCATCAGAACTTTTTCCGTTTGAGCTCCCAGAAAGCCATATGTAGGTTTTACTAGTCACCCTCCATGAAACTGCGCCCCTGCAGCGAGCCGAAGCCTAAACGTCACCGATGGCCTCTGCAGTTCAGACAAAGCCTGTGGCACCATAAGCCTTCTTACTTCATACCAATATCAGACTGCAAACGTAGACCCCTGCAGAACCCACAGATTTGGCCCATCCACCTCTACAAAGCCAAATATGCCTCGTCTTATGGGTGGATGTTGCCTCCAGCCTGCGTTTCTTTTTCCTGGTTTAAGTTTTCGGGTTTGAAAAAGGGTCTTTGACAGTCTATAAGGAGTTTTGGGGGATGGCTCTTAATCCTGGGATATTTTAAATTTTAAGAACGGTCTGTTGCAAGGACAATCTTGAATCATTGTTACAGGCACCATTCGCCGGCTCTCATACTGACAATCCTCCTCTCTAGGGAATGAATATTGCTGCTGCCCAAGTACGTTGGCAAGACGCAGGTGAAGGCGTACAATGGTGGCAAGCTTCGATCAATGAGCGGTGAGATGCTTGCCGTGGAACAGTTCCGAGCCGAACGCTTGCTTTTGGTAGTAGGTCCAACATCATAGCTACGAGCATCGTCCAATTCATTCCCGTCGTGCTGGTCTTCGTTGTTCCCATTCGATGGTGTCCACTGTCGCTTGGCCGCCTCTGCGTGGCAACAGACTCCAACACATGTGTCATCATCATCGCCCCCACCTGCAGTCAGTATTCCCCAGGTCCTCCACATCACCATTGTCTTGCCAGCATGTTCGTCTTTGCATATGTCCAGCATTGTCTTGCCTTGCACCCTCGTGCTCATCGCTATCATCATCATCATCATCAGCATCATCATCACTCTCCGCTGCCGGCATCAACAGCATCAGCGATGACGACGACGCCGCCGACACAATAACAACGACACCAACACCACCAACAACGGCAGCAACGGCAACGAAAACACCACCACTACCAACAACAGCGACAACAACAACAACAACTACTACTACTAGTACTACTGCTACTGCTACTGCTACTGCTGCTGCTACTGCTACTGCTACTGCTACTACTGCTACTACTACTACTACTACTACTACTACTACTACTACTACTACTACTACTACTACTACTACTACTACTACTACTACTACTACTACTACTACTACTACTACTACTACTACTACTACTACTATACTACGACTACTACTACTACTACTACTACTACTACTACTACTACTACTACTACTACTACTACTACTACTACTACTACTACTACGACTACTACGACTACTACGACTACTACGACGACTACTACTACTACTACTACTACTACCACTCTACTAGTACAGCAGCAGCAGCAACAACAACAACAAACAACAGCAACAGCACCAACAGCATCAGCAGCAACAGCAACAACAGCAACGCGAACTGCGACAACAGCAACGACAACGACAACGCGAGCCGCAACACCAGGAACGACACAACCACTAACAGTAACCACAGGAACGACAACAACAACAACAATAGCAACATGAACAGCAACAACACCAATGCCAACGTCAACCGGTACCGCACCTACACCACCACCCCCCCCAACAACACCAACTGCTGCGGCAACTGCTAGAACATTAATGCCAATGTCAAGCAGGACACCAACACCACAACCTCCGCCACCACCACCGCCACAACCGCATCAGCAACAGCAGCGGCAACAACAGCAGCAAACACAACGGCGGCAACAGCAGCGACAGCAACGGCAACAACAACAACAACAACAACGCCAACACCAACACCAACCACTACCATCATCACCACCACCACAACCACAACAAGCCCCACAACCACCACATCTACCACAAACATCACCGCAACCACAACTACAACAACCACGACAGCCCCCAAAACCACAACAACCTCAACAGCTACAGCAGCCGCGATAACCACAATCCCGACGACCACGACAACAACCACAACAACCACAAGCACAACCGCTAATTACCGCAACCACATATAGCACGTCCACCACCACAATCGCGATGACAAAAACAGCAACATTCTGAAGACGCTAAAGTTCCAATCCTAAGACGAGCGTTCGCCACCATTTCGTGGTTCCTCAAAACCCCACTACCTACACCCCAAAAGTAAAAGCAATCCTAAACCCGAATGAACGCTGCTCAGGATCCTCTCCGGCCATGGCATCGATTTCCGAAGGCCCATTTATGGCAAGGCCTGGATTTGACTGCGCGGGGTGTCAGGTTCAGGGTTTATGGGATTGTGATTACAAACCCCAAGCCCTGCACGTTAATTATGGTTTGGAGGTTTGTAATGATTAAGTTGAGGGTCCAGCTTCCGGCTGTTATCCTCTTACTTCGGACGTGCAGTATGGTCCCCGACTTTCGGAACCTCCCTGAGCGATGCCGGCTTTTACCGGTGCCCTCCTCTTTGCCGACAGCACGGGCATTACAGCAGACATGGCGTCGGACTAGAGCCAGCTGAACGCCCAACAGTCGCCGTGAATCTTAAAGTGCTGGCAATCAAGACAAGTGCAGAAACGGCAACATCAGCATTGACCGTTGAAGTAGTAAGACGGGAAGCCACTGTGATGATCGCGAGACCGGTCTGGAGTCGTGCTAACGAAAGAATCGCAGCCGTCTCCAGGATCCCCAAGCCAGATGTGTGCATAGTCGGGCCACCTTTGCGCCAGCACGGTGTAGTGCGTAATTGGTCTTCCAAGTCTGCCTCGACAGTATTTAAACGTAAACTTCGCAGAAGCACCATCTGCAGCAGTGTGGTATTTTCCCTGGCTCTAAAGCCCAGAACCCCAAACCCTAAATTTTCCCTAAATCCGTCACTATCCGGGTACCTCCTGGACAGGCCAAGAACCGCAACGTCTTTGGCCACTGAAGAGCTTTGCCGTAATTCGCATGGTTTCGGGTTCCTTGTGGTGCCTGGCTTTATACCCATAGGCCCCATAGTAGTTCCCTTTCGGGATGATCTCAAACCATTCAAAACATGAACCCCAAAAAGGAGCCACTATGAAGCCTATGGGTATAGGTTTAAGTTAAGGCCCAGTGTTCGCAGCATGATCCGACCATGGCAAATCTAGAGAACTGGCCAAAACCCCAAGAATTTCCCTGAACCCCTCAGCCCCCACAAAGCAGCAGTCATAAGGATCCTAAATACTCTGCTAGCAATTAAAATAGTTTGTTTGGATTCGGTATAGTACAAGGGGCTATAATACGCGCTCAGGGTTACTACAAGAGAGTTGCTATAAAAGTATTCGATGGGTTTAGGGCACAAATATGGGTGAAGTACGGTGGGGTATGCAGGGCTAGATTCATCGTAACTGCAAGCATGTCCACCACTCCAGCCGTTAAGCATGAGTGTTACAAGCCTCGATTCTCCCCCAAATGCAGCCTAAGCCCTAGCCCGAAGCGCAATACTAATTGTAGGGGTTTGAATAACTGGCCCCCGTAGAGTCTCTGTTATACTATGATATACCAAGACCGAGTTGTAATTATCAACGCTTCTCTACACTCAAACCCTGCAAACACCCGGTCAGAAGCTCTACGAACCCTAAGTACCCCTAAAGCCCCAAAGCCTAAACCCTAAAGCCCCTCGTCTGGCTGTGTCCGAGTTGCGAGAGCGTAAAGCCACACATGCAGCCGAGGGGCTCTTCACTATAAGACCCCTCAGTTTCACCAATCAGCGCTGCCCTGTGCTCGGCCGTGTCAACACTCCCAGGAGCATTCGAAAGAGCCTCAGGGTTTTGAGCTGAGGGCCATCCCTTTTGAGAGCCTAACCCTCGGCCCTAATTCCTGTGTAGGGTCGATGGCTAAAAAATAACTATTTCTATTGTTTATTAACCTCTCCTTCTGCAGAAGAGAGCTCCAGGTTCGCGAAGTCTCAGGAGTTGCATTGTCAGGCCGTGTTCTCACACCCAACAATGTCTTATCGGTTTAGAGACCACCCGGCAATTTCGTGCGGCTGGCTCTTGGCAGCTATTGGGACTGATCTCGCTTTGAGAGTGCAGTTTAGGCTTAGGGGAACGCTGAGGCGGCATATTTTGTTGCTTCACGTTAACTGCAATGTGCTCGGAAGGCTGTGTGCTTGTTCTTGTCAGTTCAGCGGAAGTTAACTTCGGCCGCATTTATCGACTCCCCTATGGCGCATATCTGTTGCAATCCTTACGATTTTGTACTACTGTTATGCATCCAAGGGTAAAAGGAGGGACCCTCAATAAGGACCCCAAGCTATATACCCTTAATATAGCTATTATATACCCATTATATAGCCCATTCAGGGTCCCTCCTTTTCCACTTTGAATGCAGGTCTGGGGAAGTCATGGCCTTCGGGGTGTAGGGGTTAACTAGCAGCCTCAGAAGCTTTGTCTGGGTGCCGGAGAGCTTAGGGTCCACCCAAACCACTTATTTACCAGCGCTGTTCCGTTCTTATTTTGTACCTGGACCTCCCAAAAGTAGTAAAATAGTGACCCAACACCAATAGAAGGCTGTTCTTCTGCATACTTTTGGGATCCAGGTAAAGTACAAGTTCCCCTTCAACCAGGCTGCCACCCAACGAACTCACACCTTACGTCCCGATTTCAACAGCCGATGTTTCCTTGGTGGCCCTACCCACATAGGCACCATAGTAGTTCCTTTTGGGGTTCATATTTAGAATACTGTAAGGTCATCCCAAAAAGGAACTACTATGGGGCCTATGGGTAGTCCTGCAGAGCAAGTAGCCCTCGCCCACGTGCATCCTCATCCGACAAGCATTCGCATGGCCAGGTTTGCCAAAACCTCCCAGGCAGCTGCTTCCGGAGGCTGGTCGGGAGGTTTATCTGGGGGACATGCGGAAGCTGCGATGTGTTTGCACCCAAGGCCAGATGTCATTCGCATGATGGCCAGAAAACCTCAGAAGACGCCAGAATGGCACGTAGAGTTTTAGGCTGCATGGCGCCATGTGCAGGTCTTTGGGGAGGCCCCTTGAAATCCATCCCTTGATCTTCGGTCGTCAAATCGACTTGACTTAACCTAGACAGCAGCTTTATAAGAGCCAAAAACCCCGAATAGTGTGGCCCTAGCTTCCTGCCAGAATATTCAGGCTGTTCAAGATACGTCAAGGTTTTAAGCATGTCGCCAACCATTATTGATGTCGACTGTGACCGCATTGTTGTTGCAGATGTCGAATGTGCTCATAACCGGGATGATCAGCAAAACCAGCCGGCGCACAATAATCGCGGCAGCCTTACTTCTAGCATTATATCATATCAGTAAGAAGGAATGCCAAAGCCATGTTGACCGAAGCCAGCTTGACAATCATGTCATGCAAGCGCAGACTCAAGTGACTCGGGTGAAAGGTGCCAATGCTGACCGTGTGTTAGGGTTTAGGGCTTAGGGTTCCAAATCCGCTTATCCGACTTATCCGTCATAATTTTTGCAAAAACATAGCTAAGAGACGTCCAACGCTGGTGTACTCGTGATGGTCCTACAACACAAAGTACACTCTGAGCGTAGAGGAGACAGGCAAATTCGCATGATCATCCCAGCAAAGAGACTAATTTCGTATTGGCTGCACATCCTTCCAACATCCATGGCAATTCGACGTTTTCGCTCGCACAAACACGAGGTCACGACCTCTGACAGAACTGCGGATTCAGACTGAACATGCCGAAGTTCCCTCGGAACACCACGATCGAGATTGGAAAAGTCTGGTTCCTCCCAGCGAAAAGTATTTTCAAGCGGAAACATAAGCTGCCAGCGAGGCAACCCGTTTGATGATGTCAAGCAGGATGTAGACGGGCCAATGGCGAGCGAGTTGTTGGGTCGCTGTGACAGACCAAAGTCCCGTCACTTGCTACAATGCCGTGTATTCGACATCACGGAATCAACCTTGCCTGTGAGCTCGATCCGAACCAGCTGGTAGGCTCCGTGCCTGCTACCTAGACCCTGAACTCAAAGTCCCTCGTCAACACCGCAAACTCCCGAATGCTGTAAATCGAATATTCCAGAGGGCCCCTAATATAGTACCTTGAATAATATTAGGATCCTTATTATACGGACCCCCAAAGGTACCCACTATTTTTCTCGGAAGCGTACTTCAGGATGCTCAAATCAAGCAGATGCCAGCGCCTCCAGCTCCAAAGTCAGCAGCTGTGGTTCATGAGCCTCTTGCCGTGAGTCTAGAGTGTTCATGAGTCTATAGAAACCCTAAACCCTTACACCCTAAACCCTTAGTGTTCAGAGTTTAGGGCTTGTAGGGTTTAGGGTTTAGGGTTTTATTGTGCTGCAGATTTGAAGTCTTGCAGTGCTTCCCAGCTGATCGGCAGAGTCTGGGTTCAAAAAAAGGGTTTTATAGTTTCACTGTAGCTTTAGGATGGGTGCAGAGGGGAATAGACAGGCGAGGCAATCAATGCAAACGAATCGAATGCTGCTTGTATAGAGGACTCTGCAATCCTTAGGTTGGATTTGGGATAAACCTGTTGAGATGAGAGCTGGTTCTTCTTCTAAGGACGTCTTTAATTCCGTGCTCATCTTGACTACTTCCAAACGTGAGAGCTGGTGCGGAACTTTCAAGAGCCTTGGGGTTCTGCGGGGTCACCACCACACCACAGAGCGGAACGGCATCCAATGCAACAGACACGCAAGTGTACCGGGTTTCACAAGCAGACAAGCATTCACAGAGCAAGCACGGGCAAGCAAGCATGGGCTATCACAAAGGACCGCACGACAAGCAGTGCCGCCACACAAAATCGCACATGGGCGCGTGCAGACACATGCGCGTAAACGCGCCGATGCCGCATACATGTACGCAGATTGGACACATGCGTATGGGCACCCAAGCAAGCCAAGCTTATCTAGGAGCTTCACAACGAGTACTAGCACCACGGAGGTTCGGCTAAGCAGGCCTGCGCCCGCACGAGTACACATGGGGACTGCCCAACAGCGAACTGATATTGTAGGCGGCGACTGACACACGCAGCAAGGCAAGACATGAAGGCGTGAGATGCAGAGAGTTAAGTTCGGGGCGATGCGAAATATTGAATAACAGATGAGCACACTGGAGGACAGATGTAGCTATCATGACTCTGGAGATTAATGTCAACACATCCTGCCAGACAGTGCATGTTTGTACAGAAGGTGGGCCACGCTTGTGAATTCAGGCAAAAATGTGAAGCGGCTGCTTGTCAATGTCCCAATCATTTCCAACTATTTTGTGGTGGGAAGTCCTCCAACAGCACCTACAGACCAAGCAGCCCAGAAATAGTTAATGCTCATCACGTAGAATAATGCCCCGTCAAAACCCCAGCATAGTAACTCATCATTTAGGTCGCGGGATTCTGGGACTCCCCGGCTAAACCCGAAGCCTGTACCCTAAGCCTAAAGAATACACCGGAATCCCATGTAAACTCTAAACCCTAGGTCCTAAACTTCTCTGTGCAGAGCGGAAACTCTGTCACCTAACTGAATCGTAATCCCTATAAGCCTCACTCCAAGGGGCACCGTGGCCGCGGCCCGGGCAGATGGCCTTGCTGCTCAAGAACTCTGGGAAGGACTGGGCGAGGTGCGAGCAGAATGTAGTGGTGTTCATATTTGCCAGCGTGTTTCAAGTATATAGGAAATTTAGTGCGACATGGTAAGCTATGCCGCTATGCAGTATAATCTGATTAAGTTTTATATCATATGATATAACACACATAAGACAACACTGAATGAAATCTCTGTTCATAATGTGAATAATCAAAATGGTGACGCATATGAATAATAAACTCATCAGAATTATGACCATCATTCATAATATATGTGTGTAAGCTACACTGTAAACCGACCTAGACTTGTCTATATCAGAATCCATATCTAGATCGAAAGCACGTCTGTGCATATGCATCATATTTACGTGTGTATATATATATATATATACAGACACACCTAACACTACCTCTAACTGTATCTCCACCTATATCTACATCCATTGCAATAACCGACCGCCAAACTTCTGTTCTAAGTAATTCTCAATGCCACGAGAGTAGGACGGAACGGAGTTGTGCGCTTTCCACCCAGCGCGTCATAAGTATATTCTACTGGGGTTTGATCTAGAGGTCGTGTCTTTTTGCTCGATATACCGAGATAGTATGTTACTAGCCAAATATTATTACATACCCCGGTATTCTAATTACTATTCAGGAAACTGAAGCCCTAGGGACAGTTACTGGTGCTATTACCACCATCATCATCATTTTTCTTTTTAGTATTTTCGTATGCTTATTAGTATTGCCATTAGAACTATTATGATAACTGTTGTTACAATATCTGTACTGTTGCTGCTATTATATTATCCCCCAGTCCTCTAGTTCGAGCTTCCGAGGGTCTCAGGCGCCATTTTTTCGGTTGGTTTGATTGGTTTAGGGCTTTTATGAGTTTAGGGATCTTAGGTGTTTGAGGGATTTTAAGGGTGTTTTAAATGGTTCTTAGGGGGGTTAGGGATTTTAGGGGTTTAGGGGTTTTATGGTTTTTGGGTACTGCCACCACTCAGTAACAGTTGAAAATATCCATGACATATATATATATATATATATATGTATATATATATATATTTATAGATCTACTAGGACGCCTTAAATCTGCCGTGCCCCAACCTCGAAAACACACCCCAAAGCCTCGCAGGTACCCGAGGGCTTGGAGAAAGGATTCCGCTCTTTGCTCATCCTGGGGCCGTCAGGCTGCGCCCTCAACTCTTTCATAGTTGGGTGACCTTTTTTGTTCATGGGTATTAGAACCCGTCAATAAGGAATACACATGTATTCTTTTAACACTATGATTATCCCAATCAGCTGTTGGCTCAAGGGGCTTTGATGGGTTTAGGGTTCATGGGATAGGGGTGGAGTCGGGTTCAGGGTTCAAGGAGTTGGGGTTTGCAAGGGTTTCGGGTTCAAGGGGGGTGAGGGTCTCTGTGAAGGAAGAGTTGATTGAAGGCGATGTGGCAATAACCCTAAACCCTACACCCAAAGCTGCTTAGGCCTTAGACCCCGAGCCTGAAAGCTGATAAATCTCTGAACCTCCAAACCAACCCCTTAAGCCCTGTATGGGAGTTTCCGAAAGTCGGGGACCCCAATGTAGTACCCTAAATAGTAGGATCCTGACCATAAGGGCCCCAAAACAGGAGGTATCCCTAATTTTCGAAAACTCCCAGGTGAAGTTTGTAGAACTTTGACCCACTTCTTTCATGAGCTCCCGGCGTGAACCGACCTGAGGCAGTGGAAAATCGACGCTGCTGCGATCCATTCTGAGAAAGTACTATCCCGACTTCAATGGGACCGGAGCCGAGCTTCTCAAGTCAAACCATGGGGCTCCAGTTACCTAAAAAGGGGTATATAATATATGGTTAGTAACCTACTATTCAGGTAACTGGAGCCATAGGGAAACCTAAGCCTTGTAGCTTTCGTCTCCTTAGGATTTGTATTTATTATCATTTTTTTTCATATAAATCCCAAGAGAATTTTAAAGAATGATAATTTTAGTATGGTTCTCGGGGGGGTATAGATAGGGTTTGAGGGATTCAGGGGCCTTGGGCAAGTTTGGTGTGGGGTTGATGGGTTTAGGGTTTTGGGCAAGAGCATGCTGCTAAGAAGCGAGTGTGTTGCAAGCGCTTCCGCCACCTTTACCTGGCAGGTTCGGAGCAGCCCAGTTTCACAAGAGTTTTGGGTAGGAGGCTAGTAGGAGGGTTTGAGATTCGGGGTTTGAGCCTTCCTTCGATTCTTTGACTGCTGCTTTTGGAAGTTCGTTTCATGTGTGCAGAAAGCCGCATTGCACAGATGTCCCAAGTCGCAGAACCAGAAACATGAACCTACGGTAGAACACCTCACTGCAAAACTCAACCGAAGCCGGTCTTGCAAGCTGTCTTGCCACTAACCCTAAACTCTAAACTCCCCAAACTCTAAACCCTAAACCGACTCTAAACTAACGAAAAGGGGCTTTCACACAAAAAACGACTCTAAGCCCCAGTCGACTGGAAGCCCGGCAAAGAGAGACACAGGGTTCACTGCCGGGGCCAAGACTGGGACCCACAATCTTCTCGAGCGCCGAGCTCTAGCTGACTCTAGCTAGGGTTTAGGGTTTAGGATTGTGGCTAGCCCGAAGCCCAGTGGCAAAAAAAAGGGTTTAGGATTTTGCTCTTGCTGTGTTTACAAATACATACATCAACGTACTTGGGCACATGCAGACAGACACATCTGCTCATTTGTGTCTATACATGTGTCCATGTGTCTCAGAAGCACCGCTTCTTGCTCAGTTAAGTATGCCGCCATCCAGGCTGTTTCGACACACGTTGCAAACGGCAGTCATAAACGGCAATGATACAGTAGCAATAATTCGCAGTATAGCAGGATTGGGTCATTTATGATTATTTCGTAATCGTCTCAACCACGAACATAAACCGGAGCCCAGCATGCTTCGGACTCAGTTTCCTGCACTTCCCCGAAGCGTAGAGCTGACTAGAGCCGAAAAGCCTCGACCCTAAACCCTCAAACCTCAAGCATATCGGCTCGAGACTATTGACGAAAGTGTTTGTTCTCCCCTCCCCCCCTTCTTCTTCTTCCCTTCCCGATGTCCGATGCGGCTCACGATGATGACAGGATGGGTGATGCACGCGATGACGAGAGTCCTTTGCATGGTGCGAATTCAGTTTCGAATTCGGGAATTCCTTCTGCTGAGGACCTTGCTGCTGCACGTGCTGCCCTTGCCGCTGCTACTACTGACGTCTCTGTATCACCTGGGCTTAATCCGTACCAGGTTGCTGCCCTATCAAATCCTTCCCCTGCCCAGAAAACCAAGCCTCCTGGGAAGCATAATCCTCCAGCTGGGGTGAAGAAAACCTTTGCTAAAGACTCCAGCCCCGACAAGCGCTTTAAAGCTTCTGAGCATCCCCCCCGCAATCCTGGTCAGCCTTCCCTTCCTTCCCAGGCCCTACCTGGATCAGGACTTAGAGAGCCCCCTATCTTCGGAGGTGGACAGCTGAACTCAGGCCCCGACACAGGACGCACACCGGAGTTCTACAATATGGACCCGAACAGCGTTCCCAGTTGGGTTTCTGAAATTAGGGATTTATTTCAGGGTGGACAAAGGGAAATGATGCAAGAACTCAAAAGCCATACCGCCAGCATCAATCAAGTTACTGAACGAATGTCTTCTTTCGACAAGAAACAGGGCGAAATGGTGGAACTTCAGCGGGCTTTTCAGGAACGTCTAGCAGAAATGGAAAGAGAAATGAGGGATTTGAAAGCAGGGCGTTCTGTTTCCCCTGCACCGCATAGGGGATATGGAGGAGGTTCAGGCTCCAGTCCCCGCTCGACAACTGCTGGAGGGGGCCAGATTGTCGACGATTTACAAATCGTCATTGGTGGATGGAAAGAGGCGAAGAAGAGTGACATCGAGTCGGAGATCCGCCAATTCTTCTCGACACTGGAAGCCTCCCCCCTGCTTAAAGACATCCACGTCCCCTTCATCCGTAGCAACTTTGCACGTGTCGAACTACAATTCGGCACAGACAGACTTGCCGAGCGCCGACAGGTACAGAACATGACCATCAAAGCGCTGAAGCAACACTTCCTTAGTCATCCCACAAGCACATTGCCCCAACAGTCAGGTTCCCGCCTATGGGCGGCCCGCAACAGAACCAAAGAAGAACGTGCTAAAATCAGGGCCTTAGTTGGGGTCAAAGAGTACTGTGCACTTCACATTAATGCCATGTTTATAGACATGGACTGGGCCGGCAAACTTTGGATTCGGGGTGAACAGGTGTTGTTCCATGTCAGCAAGCGCAAGCCACACGAACAGTCCTTGATGCTCAACGACTCCAAGGGTGATGAATCCGGGTGGTGGGCTGATATTGGTGTCATGAGTAGAGCACTGCCCCGGAGCCAGGCTGAGATCGAAGCAGAGTTGACGGCATGACTAAACAACACCCAGCAGACAAAAGAAGGGAAACACCGACACACACGACGTCAGCCAAAGCCGATACGCGAATTAAGTGCAGCCACCTGGAACCTTCATGGAAAACATTTCCTGTCGATCCAGAATATCACCGATCATATTGAAGTTCCTTGGGATTTCCTTTTCTTGCAAGAATTAGGCGGCTTCTCCCATTTGGAAAAAGGCGAATTCGTCACAGAACATGTTTTGTTAGGAGGTGAAGCGTGCACCCTCATTGTTCACCAAACCCCCCTCAGCCACCATGCTGTCGGCGTTTTACTTCGGGACCAAATTGACTTGCAGGTTGTTCGGAAGGATTCGTTTGGGATCGGTTTCCTACTTGAGTGTCGCGCCTTTGGCCGCAAGATCTTCCTGGGCACCGGACATTTCCCGCATCAGCAACGTAAGGATGCAACGGAGACTTGGTTCACTTCTATTGCACGCCTTGACGAATTACTTTTGCATGCTAGGTACTGTGACTGTATTCTCCTTGGTTTGGACTGTAATCAGAATCTGACCTTGCCTAATTCATCCTTTGCTGGACTGTCGCGCCTCATGTTCTTACTTCACCATCGAGGGTTAGAGGTTAGTCCACTTTTAGGTATCACTTGGGAAGCTCGTGGTGAATCCAGCTCTATCGATTGGTTAGTTTACCGATGGCCAGGGGTAGAAACGAGTTTCCACTTACGCCCTGACATGCGGACCGCCTTGCCCTCGGACCACGTCCCAGTAGTTGGAGTTCTTACAGGCCGTACTAGCTTGTCTGAAAGACCTCCCAGACCTCGACATAGGTGTGGAAGGTGGATTACGTCCTTTGAAGCGCTATCTCAGGCCGCTCAGGATCCGTCCTTTACTTTCACCCAGGAGAGTTTCGGTGAACTCTGTATTTCCCACTCCTCCCGTTTGCCTTCGAGAAAATACAAAGACCCCCCTGAAGTCCGAGAACTCATCCGGCAAAGGAAGATTTGCTCCTGCCCTAACGAACGTGCCGACCTCATGACACAAATTCATTCTGCAAGAGTTTGTGCTCAGCGGGAACATAAACTTTCGGTTTTAGATGATGCTCGTAACGGGGATAGAGGAGCTATTGCCCACCTCCGACGAAGTGCTTCGCAAAGCTTTTCTGAGGGTAGCTTCATTGAACGACTCGGAGGACAAACCCGAGCTGTGGATGCTATGAAATCCTTTTACTCTGCAAAATATTCCTTACCCCCTGAAGAAACTCCTATCTCCCCAGAACAGAACGAGTGCCTCCAACATAAACACAGTCGGGCAGCCGTACCTGTCACTGCCCAGGAAGTGCAAGATGCCCTTACTCACTGTAAACCCAATACTTCTTCAGGGCATGATTCGGTATGCTATTCTGCAATCAAGGACTTCTTTAGTCAGGACGACTCAGGAAAGCTGGTTAGTTTCTTCAATAAACTCCTTCAGCGTGAAATACCTATTCCTGAGTCGTGGACTAAAGGCAAACTCTGTTTTATCCCTAAGTGTCCCCGACCTTCCAGACCACAAGATTTGCGTCCTATCTCCCTAACACCCTGCCTTGGGAAACTGTTTGCGCGCATTGTTGTCAATAGACTCTCCCACTCCTTTCCCCGATACCAGAGTGGACAACATGCGTGTCGACGTGGCAGCCAAAGCTTGGAGGCGGTTTGTGCCGCCCAGTCTTGCATGAAACTCTTCAAAGGTTCTGAAGGCCGTAACGTTTTTCTGATGAAACTCGATATATCTCAAGCCTTTGACACAGTCTCTCATCACGCCATTTGGCGTTTCCTGTTGGAAACAGATCCATGCATCGAGGCGCTTGTTTTGTGGGACCTATGCCGCCATACCTCGGTTGATTTACAGTTAGGTTCGGAAGCATGGACGCAGGAACTAGGACGCGGGATTTTGCAGGGCACATCCTTCTCCGCTGACCTGTTTTCCAGGGTTTTAGATTTCTTTTTGGGAGGATTGGTTCACAAATGGGCTTCTTCAGCACATCCTGCGTTCCGCACACTGAGTCTTCCACACATTCTGATTTATGCGGACGATCTTCTAGTTTTTGGATCCTCCCCTGCAGAGCTGGAAAAGAAACTACACGATCTCCAGGACACGCTGTCTTCAATAGGTCTTCGGTTGAACCTTGGAAAATGCTCAGTCATGCTTGAAGAAGGAGGCACCTGTCCTGTCGTCCGGCCTAAGGGAGCTGACAAGCCCCTGCAAGGTGTCGCGGACCTGGTTTACCTTGGAGTCCCTTTGGCACATAAACAAACTCCCCTGGGGCAGCTTGGGCTTTCTCTCTCTAAGGTTTCTAACGCCTTTTTTGGGCTTAGACGTATTTTCGATCATCCTCTTACTCC